GAAATAATTGCACGGATCATCGTCACATTATTGCCCATTAGAAGAGCATGAAGCACAAAAATAAAAGCATATCGCGACTGGCGAAAGATAAATCAATGTAGCAGAATAATATACCGTAACATTTGTTCTTATGAATACGATTTATCCTTCTTGTTCATTCATTTCTTCAATAACTCGATGTACAATAAAATTAAAGCAAATATCGAGAAAGTCTTACAATTTTCTTACATTGAGTATTAAGCGAGAAATATATTTTAGAATAAGAATGTAAATTTCAAAAAAAAAACAAGAAAGCAAAAAGAAATTCAGAAAATTATATAAATAAATTAAAATTGTGTATTCTTCAATTTCTTTATGTTAGTTACACTTTCTATTTAAGATTCAAATAAATGTGCCAATTTAAATACGAAGGACAGGATAAAGCCAAAGTAATGTTTTATTCAGACAATGTCGATAAACTCGAATGAAATGTTTATGATTAATGCTGCTGACACTATATAGGAATGTTAATCGAGCTGCTGATAAAAGTATCTTTCTTTTCATAAGTTTTTCTTTTCTTATATGTGTATATGATAAGCCTCGTTATCGAGATATCGTAGATGCTCTCTCATTAATTATCGTTCGCTTTATGCTGATAATTTGTCGGCAGTCCGACCGGTTCATCCTCACAATCAATTGCAGACTCATCGAAATGCGCGTAAGTAATCACGGCATTGGTAAAAACGATTAGTTATTTCCATAATTTGCTTTAGGCTGCGCTCCAAGGTACAACTGAATTCCTATATAATCATTTTCTAAAAATTATTAATAGATCAAATTTTCTTGCACATACCAATTTCATAAATTATTGTAATTCCTGAGATTGACTTAATTAAGAGTTTCGATTGTGTAAAAAATCTTGAAGAGATCTACATTGTTAAAATTTATTATTCTTTTTGCTTTTGATTGTTTTTGCTTTTGAGACTGGATTATTTTTATGGATTATTTTAACCATATTTATAAGAAAAGCACTTGGTTGAAATATAGGCATGCACATCTTAGCAATTTCTTTTTATAAAGCGCAGGAAATTCCACTCTGTAAAGAGGAATAATATTATGGTAAATTACTAAAATATCATAACATCTCATAAATCTTGATCTTAACTTTAAAAAAAATTTTAAATATCCGAAAGTTAATTTAACAGTTGATATATGACAATAAGTACAATAATCATATAAAAGCTATTTAGTAGCTTATATAACAATTAATAAATTGTTTATGCTTTATTCGCCGTTGTGTGTACTATAAAAAAATAAATGAGAAATTATTAAATATTGTAAATATTTGAAATATATTCTTATTTTATATCTAATAAATTATAAAAGAAATATGAATGTATACTAAGAAAACAATTATAAAATTATAATAATAACTTAAATTTAATAAATAGAATTCGATTAAGTTCTTATCACTTATTTCTTTCATCTTTAATGAAAAATCAATAATTAAATTATAATTTGTTTTCTGTAATTATTATACAATAAATTAATTTATGGAATTAGTTCTATAAATCTCTTTCCACGACTATTCTGTAATCAGTTTATATCATCAGTTATATTGATATGAATTTTTGAATGTAAATTCTACAAGCGATAATTTCGAGAATCATAATTTTTATATCTCGAGGCACGCATAATGATAGATAATCGTTAACAAAGTGCAGCTTTCATCGTGAAAGTAAACTATCGAAAGAATTTACTCAAAGATATCAACCATTTATTAAATATTAAATATAATAAAATATAATATAATAAATTGCTTTATTTTTACAAACCATAATTAGTTTTTAATATATATATATATTATATTGACATTTTATTTATCTAATATTATTCGAAGATATAATTTACTGCATTCTATCTATTTGTTAATTGAAAACGGAAAAATAAAACACAAGTTAAAATTAATTATGCTCTAAAATGCACAAATATATTTTAATATTGTTAGCTATTTATCAAAATAATATCGATTATTTTCCTGATATATGATATTACGATACAATGTGATGTAATATGAATACACATAATTTCTAATGTTCTTTAATTTCTGGACACCAGATACATGACTTAAACACGGACACATACACCAGACTCGGTCACGTATCCAGGTTTTGACCTACTGACACGATACAGTGACGTCACGGGAGAGCAGGAGGACGGCAAAAGAGTAGTAAGGCTGGTGGAGTTTCAACTTGACGAAGGAAATTTCTTCAGTATACACTAAAGTGATAAGGATAATACAAAAACAAAAAATATACATGTTTACTATAACTGTGACTGCGTCTGTTATATATTCACTGCGAGTACTGAAAATCTATAATATGCATAATGTGAATTATAGATTTTCAATATTCGCAATAAATAATGAAATATAGCTTATAAGATTAGAAAATTTTTACTTGTTAGTATAATATTTAAGTAGTTTAATTCAATTATGAAATAAATCGTAAATTCTTTATTGTCATTTTTATAAATACTAATCTTTAATTTTTTGAACTTTATGATATTTTCAATCTTACATTTTAAAAGTATGTTTATAAATTTAATACACAAAACAGCTTTAAAAAAAATTGTTCATTTGACAAAATTAATTAATTAATTTTTATTTTTTTCGTTGGAAAATATATGTATTATATAATATGTTTGATTTTTAAATTTTAAATAAAATGAACAATTTTTTTCTCAATATAGAATTTTTATAAAACTTATATTAGTTTGAAAGAGAGAGAGAGAGAGAGAGAGAGAGAGAGAGAGAGAGAGAGAGAGAGAGAGAGAGAGAGAGAGATATATGCTTTGTAAATTATGTAATAATAGCTATGTTATAATTTATAGAGGAATCTCATATTATAAGATATTATAATTTTTACTCATATATTTTGCAAATAGGTATATAAGTATTTAAATAGAATAGTATTAATACAAGAATATCTCTTAAGTTTATTTTTTATAATAAAAATTTTTTGTAAAATATCCATAACTAGTAATTCTTTACCATTTAATATGATTAATTAAACTATTCTGGATGAATTTTGCTATATTCCGCTCGTGTTACATGTCGACTAATCGCCACGCTTTTTAGCCAACGTCAGATTATCTAAGAACGGCGCCATCCTTTGTCTAAATTCTCGCGCTCTCCCACTTCACTTCATATGTTATTTTACAACTTTTTGTAGCCTGTTTACTTGTATTTTTGATCGAATTTTCCCGCGCAAGCAAAACCACCAAATTTGCCGCAATCTCTTCCCCAGCCGATGGGAAGCTCAAAACCGAAAGATGTGATAGATCATCGCGCGATCAGACAAAAAGTCTCCATCGTCAAGACCCGTCGATGACAGCTTCCTGGTTAGGCTTATCATCGTTTAGGTATTCTTCATTTTGATAACAACGACTCTGTCTGTGCCATCGGACTGTCATCACGATACGAAGAACGAATGTGAGAATCAACAGTGAATGTGAATTTTTGGGGTGGAGACTTAAGACATCAGGTGGAAGACTTAGAATAATTATAAGACGTCAAAGTATGTGTATTAACTGTATTATTAGTATGTATAATATAAGATATATAATTCTCAACTTGATTATACAATTAAAAATTTTCCAGAGTATTTGTACATATATACATATTTATTACTATCTGTCTAATTTAAAGTTATTATATACATTAGAGATAAAATATATTATATTTTTACCTTTACACTAAGACATTTCCTTTCATAGACATTTTAAATTATTTGAAAAAAATTTTTTTTTATAAAAATATTAAAGTCTTATTATTTTCTAAATTAGAAACATGCAATTAAAATTCTAAATTTACTTTTGCAAATTAAGATTAAAAATAAATATGTAAATAATGAAATCTTAGTTTGTTATTATTTTATTTTGTCATTTTATTAATTAGCTTAATTTATGAATACTCATTATAGAGATATTTAAAAGCATAAGTTTATAAATTTATAAATTTTTTCATATAAATTATTTTAAGAAGAATCTATAATTAAAATTAGACGAAAAATTTAAGACGCAGTGTATGCTCAACTAAATTGTACTTGTTATATCAGAAACGTTCAGCAACAGATAAGCACATTTACTATACTACATGCGGGACGCGAATCACATGTCCTTCCGGTTCAATAAGCGCTTCCTCGAAATGTCTCTTCATATAAACCATCTCCGCATTTAAACACGAACGATATATCTATCGTTGATGTATCGTTATGTGTTTGAACTCAGAATGTCGTATTTTCCGTCTTGCGGAAATATAGTGAAGTTTGCCTTGACATCATAGTGAAATATCTCAAATATATTTCTTCGACAGCACTTGACTTCCTTCACATTATTTCATTGATTTTTCTGATGCATCGGACATCGTTGACTTTTCTACTGTGCAACTTGTATTAAATGTGTAACATTACATGTCAACATGTCAACATACTTGCTTCTCCATCTTCTGCTAATTCTGTACTCTTCTGCCCTAGAACTGAAATATGAAACTGTTTCTACACACCGACAAGAAATTGTTCCCTTATTCTTTGTTCATGTGAGGCTCATGTTTCATATTCGGCAAGAACTGAATCCTTACTCTTGTATCTATTTAAGCCGCTACAATCGCCAACGTAACTGTATTAAATTATTGATTTATATTGATTTACGTATTACTAGCATAATGTTTCATTTCTCTTTTTCTCTCCCTCTGGAATAAGTATGTGCCTGTCAATACTTACATTAGTGTCAATACCTATATTATTTTATATTTTCTTTTTTCAGTGACATTAACCCCATTAGTTTCTCTTGTGTTCTTGTACTTTAATAATAGTTAATAGTTTAACTGAATCTGTCAAATGTTAAAATAAAACAATGATTTTTTAAAGATAATTTAAAAATAATTTAATCTTGCAATTCATTATCTTTGTGATTCTAGATTCTACCGCCATCATTTACGAATAAGCGTTTACGGCAATTCTATGTTTCGGATAATCGACCCACCCCCCAATTTCAGACACAGCACCAGCGAGTGGATCTATAAGGTCAGTTCTGACAATAAAAACATGCGGTCAATGCGAAATTTACCCCGGAGGTCTCTGCCAAATGGGTCACTCCGGTGGAAAGAAAGGAGAATGAAGGTTACGACTACGGAGATGTCGCGGTGCCATAAAAGTCGAAATGCTGCCTAACAGAGTGAACGTGTTCGAGACGTAGTGGCTCTAAGCGAATTACCTGAGATCCACGTGGATCTCAAGGTGCAGCCTTGAAAAGCTACGATGGCCGAGAGATCGATCGTCCGGCCGCACGATGGTTTCTCGTGCGATCTTGAAACCAGTATCAGCAAGAAGTCGCACAAATCACCTGTCGACTTCTAAGTATTGCGATGTTATTTTATGAATAATCTGTCTTTAGACAATTTTCATTATGTTATAGAAGATATTATTTTTATAATAAGTAATTATAAAAAAAACTTACATAAATTTAAATCAAAATATAAGTGTTAACTTCAAATATAATTGTCAAATAAATTAAGTGTATATGCGTTAATCATACCATAAAAATTAATGATAATAATATATTCAGTCATTTATGAATTTTTTTGTTGTTGAAAGTAATTTTTCATTTCAAATTAATGCTATGACAAATCGCACTTTCGTTCTAATTTTAATTACAGCCTAGATCTGTTTGCATTGCTTACGCTGTTTGTACTGAGCATCTTCGTTTTCTCTCTCTTCAACGTCTAAATATATGTATATTATTGATAAGTATACAAATTTTTAGAGGTTTCAGCAACTTGAACAGATCTCATGATTGCTTTAAGATTTATTTATTATTTTTCTAATGTACAGAAAAGCTGTTTTTACAGAATCAATATTCGTATTTAACATGATTATTATATTATAATTAAAAAAAAACCTTATAGAGATTCATCCTAAGAAAAAATTAATTAGTTAGATACAACTTCAATACTTTTGAAATCTTCCTTTAATTAATTTTCTGAATATCATATAATATTTTTCATACTTCTTATACTTTGATAAAGCAATGAGAATGTTATTAATGGCACAATATATTATTTTACAATAATATTAATTTTGTTAGTGTTTCGTATAAAGCTATATGTATGTGTATTTTCTACTACTAAAAACATATTTATTCTTAGATGTTATTTCTCTGGTCGAGAGAACCAACCCCAGATCCAAGAGCCAGTCCATGGTTTGCCTGGTTCGCGACGGCTGTTGTATTGTGGCGTTGTCGACGTCGCATTACCAAAGCGATTTTGGCTATTTCACCTTTGAGATTGTTAAAGAGACGTGTTACTGGTCTAGCTATCAATCAGAAGACAATTCTGAAACAAAAGAGACACAGCCTTGCTCAGCTACACAAGCATAAAACTGTCGGCATACGGCGAACGAAGCGATTGTGCACCGGCGATGGTCTGCATGTGTCCGACAATATGTCCATGATACCACAGATCCACTACAGAGTCACCAGGAGTGGTAGAATTTACGGGAAATACCCGAACAAAACCGCCATCCCAAATGGCATTCAAGAAAGCCATTGATATCGCGCTAAAATTATCAAACCCTCAGCTACTGTTTTTGTCTCTGTATAAATCTTGTAATTATCATTGTCATTGTATTGTCAACATAATTTCATTTTGAAAAAGAAACAATTTTTCAAATATATACTTACATTCTTTTTCTTGATAAATTCCTTTTTGAAAATTGTTCTCTTTTTTAATATTATCTAATACAAGAGAGTTTATAATTATACATTATAAACTCTCATAATTATACATTATGACGTTTATGACAATTTTTCGCGCTTTTTATAATTGAATAATTTTGGCAGAATCGTTTTGCATGTATTCCATAGAATTTGCAATGCCAAAATACCTTTAATTTGACTATTTACTGTTTTTGTTATTGCATATAATGTAATGCAGAAATTATATAACGTAAATATGTGTTTTGCATGAAATCAAATAATTGCAGATTTATTCCAATCAATATTCGTAAAGTATTTTTCTTGTTTGAAGAAATTTCCATAAAAAAGTTTATTTTATCTGTTTTATCCTTGACATAATTTAGAAACAAAGTTCAAAACCTTAGAAAGAGGTCATGCCACTTAGCGTTTTGGATTTCTGGCTGCGTTCATCTTTTTATCGACCAAGCACAAATCAATAAAAGTTGACTGCGTTTTAGGACGCCTAGTGCTTTTATACAGAATGCCCTAACTTTTTCAGATGCTTTCTTGGATGTTTTAGCCTAGGAACATTTTTTTCTTAACATTTCAAGAAAGTAATAGTTTGAAATTTCTTTAATTAAAATCCAAGAAAGCATCTGAAAAAGATAGGGCATTCTGTATAAATGCAGTAGACATCCTAAAACGCAGTCAACTTTTATTGATTTGTGCTTGGTCGATAAAGAGATGAACGCAGCCAGAAATCCAAAACGCTAAGTGGCATGATGACCTCTTTCTAAGGTTTTGAACTTTGTTTCTAAATTATGTCAAGGACACAAAAACAGATAAAATAAACTTTTTTATGGAAATTTCTTTAAACAAGAAAAATACTTTAAATAATTTTAAACAAATTAATATTTTTGCACCGACATTTATTTATTTTATTTTTATTTTTAGAAAAAGAAATATTGCGTGTCTAGCATAAAAATATAATTTAGACATTAACAAAAACGTATAAACAAAATTTAACAATTACTTAAAAACACTTCTCTTTGTTTACACTATCACTTAAATTAAATCTAAATTTTTTTTAAAAAGAAAAAGGCTTTCGTCTAATGAATGGACATCTAGAAACGTCTTTCCTTAAGCTGTCGCGCGAGCGGTGTATCGCGAAAAAGCACTCGTTGGCATAGCCTAAGTAACAATGTAATGCTGCAGAACTTTCGTATCAGAGATGTGCCAATTTAAGCGGCACAATGCCCGCGGTTTCAGAATGAGCAAACGTATGGAACGTGTGCATCGTCGAGCAGAATGGTACGTAACTATGCCAAATTTAATCATTCAGTAGCTAGGCTACTGACATCGGGGCTGTACTCATTGCATATGTTGTTCGAGATTTTCAACAGGATATTTGTAACACACTCAATTGTTTTAAATTTCTTCAGATATACTGTTTTTTCTTTTCTCTATTTATCTTTAAAAATATATTGTATTATTTTTTTTAATTCTGTTTTTTAAATTTTAAATAAATATTTAAAAAATGTTGTGTATTAATTAATATATAGAATAGTTTAATAACTATTAGCACTTGAAATATCTTCGAATACTTTGTATATGTATAAAAATATATTTGTTTGTATCGTAAAAATATATTTTCTAATACATTTATCAATATGTTATAAATTTATCAAAGAAAAATTCTTAATAGCTAAAATAATGTTGTATTACTTTGTTAAAAACTTTTTATTATTACACTGTTTTTTCTTTACATTTTATAGTATTAAACTCTGATATTACCGTCTTACAATATTAAAATACGTGATTGCAATAGCTATATCTTATAAAGAAATCATCAAAGCTATCCCTCACCGATTTTAGAAGGTTTTAAATATATTGTAAAAACATCAAAAAATATTAGACTAATATTTTTTTATCAGCGTATCTCAAGGTTTAGGAATTGAAACACCCCCTTGAAACAAATGGATTGTTTTCAGCAAATATCTTTGCGAAACTATGTGATATAAAAAAATGTTTTGTATATAAGATTTCTAATATTTTATACTTTATACATATATATTTCATATTGCTTATTTCAGTATTAGTCTATATTGTGATTCTTTAGAATGAAAACAAAATTATCTTATTACATTTTTCAAATATACAGTACATTTACACGCCTGCAGAAATATGTATAATAACAATTCCCCCCTCCCCCCTCTTGTTCAAGAAAATAAAATGTCGAAAAATCGATATCACTCGATCTTCCCTTATTGGCAGTATATTTTGCGCAACACGATGGAATGTGATTGTATTTTTATTCTTAAGATAATAAAAAAATATTGTCGTAAGATGAACTTTGATTATCAATACACTTCAATATACTATTTAATGCTGATTCATTTTACTTTTGTTATTATGTGCGCATACTTTTGATAATATTTGATATTATTTCCTTGCGTTCTTATCGATTTGACGGATCTTATACAAGTAAATCAAAATGCATAAGGAAGAGATATTATAATAATATGTCATTCAATATTAAACATAATACAATATTAAACATATCTCAACAATCAAAGCTCACGCTTACAAATAGATTTTTGTCATCTTGAAAAATATAATCATTCCATCGTATTGCGCAAAATGTTTTTCTGCAAAATGATTATTTTGCAAAATGTTAACTTTAATATTACACAAAAAATATATTTCATATGTTTCATGTATTTATATAATTATATTATAAAAATGATGAAGGATGGCTCCGATGGTTTCCTTGTTATATCTCAATAATTCACATAAAAAGAATATTATTTTCAAGACTCTTGTTAGTATTATATTATCAGTAATGAGTTAATCAATAATAACAGAAATACATATAAAGCAGACTATTTTTACTTCATCAAAAGTAATTTATATTCATTGCAAATTAACAATTCAAATTGTATATCAAAAAGAAATATAAATATAATAATAAATAAATTAAAATTTCATTTTAATGAAAATGACATTAACATGCAGAATTAATTCCAGCTTTCTTATTTTTAAATAACTATTGCGACATCAAATAAAATTCTAATGAAATGTCTGAAAACCTAATTTAAATTCTATTTGATATAATTAACAGTGTACGTAGTCATCTCATGAGAACGGTCAGCGATTTTCTAACTTTAATCAAACGAGTATGAGAGTAAATTACGAGGAGACATCAACATGTTTAATGATAGCTGATAGAAGGGACCAACTGGTCCTGAATAAACAAATATTCAAATAAGATTATCAATACTTTGTTTATTTGAAAATAAAATTGTAATTTTATAATAAATTTTAAAGATTTTATTAAAAATAATCTTATTAAATAATTGCAGAAATTATTTAAAATATTTTATTACTTATTATTGTAGTAATTTTGCAAATTAATACAGATTTAGAAATACATTTTTTTTGCTTAGAATGCTTAGATTAATTCAATATAATTTTTTAATTATAACTATGTAGTAATAATATATGTATATTAACAAAAAAATAGGTCACTGGGTCGAGACAGTGACCTATATTTTTTGCGGATAAATGTATATAGTTACAGCATTTTATAAATTTCTACTATTAAATATTATATAAGACACAATTCAATATAATATCTGAAATTAATAAAAAAAGTTAATTATATGTAAAGTTAATTATATTTTGTCATGGAATAAAATAAAGTAAAATTTAATTAACATTCTAAATAATAATTCCAACAAATATTATTTAAACAAGTACAAATAGAGAATTTAATTAACTATAGTGTCTCACTATAGTTAACTATAGAGTCTCACTGATTGTCTAAGTGACCAATTGTAACTTATCGATTCCCTGTTTATTTCTATATCATTCTACTTAAAAAGACAGAAATTATTTGGATTTTTTATTGACATTACTTTGATCAGTTGATACCATAAAACAAATTGTTTGATAATGACATATATGTAATTTGGATAATTTGTATATTCAAGCTTTCAATTACAATTCTAATAATAACAATTAAGATTCTTAGGGCAATAAATAGAAAGATATATTAATATAAGTCTGAGACATTTTGTATTACAATTTAATTTCAGAAATCTAATAAGTTTCATAAATTTTTAAAATGCAGTAGAACGGAACGTCAAGGTGATCGAGTTATGGAACCGAGAATCGTTAAAAAATGCATTATGAGACATTTAGTCGAGAACAGAGAATAGCAATCCAATGATCACCAACTTTTTCCGCTCAACGCATTTGACAACCCTGAAATTGTCGTGTTCTTGCAGCAGCGAGAGTGCGAGCGGATTCGCTGTGGCCTGTGACGATTCACGATGGTGTTCGCGCGGGGCATTGCGACGGCAGGGTCGCAGCCTCGAATGCGCCACGAAAATGCCCGGGTGGGAAAGGGTGGATTGGGGGCGGCGCGCAAGCGTCGTCGTTGTCGTATCGACGCTTCGACGCCCGGGCCGAGGGAGAGAAACGGATTTCTCTGTCAGTAGTGGTAGAAGCCCCGGTCGGGGTCGAGCGAGAGTGCGAATATAAGCGCGTGTTCATAGCAGTGTGATTTTGCGAATGTCTCTCGAGTGCATCTCTCAACAGAGCAAGAAAAATATATAAGACCTTAAAACGCCGTCACATAGAAAAATAACGACGAAGACGACAACAGATGTAGAGGACGCATTATTAGCGTCTTGATTGTCGCTTTCGATTTGGCCGGGTTTGCAGAGAAAAGTGGCGCGAGAGGGTGGACGGGAGTGTAAGAGACTGTGAGAGAGGCACCGGCAAGAGCTACTGGTGCACACAATCAGGATGCGACTGAGGAGGTACGTGTGGTGTCGGTCGAATGTAATCAATGGTAGCAATGAATAGCAT